AGTGATGTTTGGATAGATTTACAGTTGTCAGTGGCAGATGTTGACAGATGTTCTGTTGTTAGTGGCTGATGTTTACAGATGTTCTGATATTAGCGATGTTGACATATATGATAGACTGTTGGCACAGATTATACGATTGTCAAGTGATATAATCGAGTCTTGAAATATATATAATGTTGGCATAGACATTCCTCTTCTCAGGCGACAGAACATTCCCAAGGAACACAGAATGTTGCCATAGATTTTGACATAGATGATGCCAAAGATGTTGGGTTTTCAAAGATAGTTGTTGACATGCTCTATTTACAGTGATAGATGTTCTCATATATGTTCTGCTTTCAGTGATAAAAGCACAGATGTTCTCATTGTTCTGCTTTCAGTGATGGTAGCACATATGTTCTCATTGTTCTGCTTTCAGTGATGGTAGCACAGATGTTCTCATTGTTCTGCTTTCAGTGATGGTAGCACAGATGTTCTCATTGTTCTGCTTTCAGTGATGGTAGCACAGATGTTCTCATTGTTCTGCTTTCAGTGATAGTAGCACAGATGTTCTCATTGTTCTGCTTTCAGTGATAAAAGCACAGATGTTCTCATTGTTCTGTTGTTAGTGCTAGATATTAGCATTGATCTACTGTTATAGTACTGTTGACATAGACATTCTGTTGCCCAGGCGATAGAACATGCCCCAGAAACCCAAAATATTGGCATAGACGATATCTTATCCGGTACCTCATTTGGTCTGTGGTCCACAGAATGGTGGTACAGACTGCTAGTTATGTCATAGGATGCAGCTGTTCCGTGTAGGCATAGATGCTGCAGTTTCAAGATGATAACCGGATCTTTGACACAGAATGCTGATATCGAGGACACAGACACCGGGTAGCACAGACTACCCCAACATCACAGACTGTTTTCAGAGATATGGCACAAAACCTTGCAAATTAGAACCAGCTGTAGTTTGATTATATTTGTCTCCTGAAAACCAGAAGAGGCACCTAATGACCCTACCTTGAGGTGCTTCCGGGGCTTAGTGTCCCCGCGGCCCGGTCGTCGACCAGGCCTCCTGGTTGCTGGACTGATCAACCAGGCTGTTAGACGCGGCTGCTCGCAGCCTGACGTATGAGAGGATACCCTTAAGAAAGGAAAAGGTGGTTGACATAGATTTCGTTGTTAGCCTTCCCGCCAAACACACACCGAAACTACGACGTTGGTACAACGTTCGAACAAGTTTTAACACTTCCTAACCAGTTATAACAACCAATATAGCAAGTTGAAGCAACGTTCTAATACGTCATAAACACGTTAAGCTAAGATGTAACAACTTTATTACAAGTTGTAACAAGCGGAAAATAGAGACAGTTTCGGTTTGTGTTTCCAGGGTTGAGACTAGCAGTCGTAGGAGACATAAAATGAAGACATAGCTTATATAGAACCTAGTTTCAAAGCCGGAACTATCATCACAGACCATTGTTTGCTACTAAAAGAGATGTAAATGGATAGCTTGAATGTCATGTCTAAAATACAGATACAAGCCGCCAACAGGCACGCGATACAGTTTATGCATTATGCAATAATATACTGTATTTTCAAGAATCTATAATCTCCCTCCAATCCGTATCACGACAGGAAAATACATCGTTCCCTGCTTCTAGAGTAATTATTACTGTCTTCACATAATTAACATTCAGTATGTTAATTATACGTTAAATACGACCGCTGTTTCAGCCGATTCAACAATAATTTAAACGTAGAACGAACGTTAGAGGAATGCAATTAAATTCGCTTAAGTATAAAATGTGAATTCAACTTTGGTCGGGGATAATAGTTATTTAACACGTAAAATCCACAGAGATTACAGGAATGCCAGTTTCCCCCCAATGCTCACCCAGAACGTTATATTTTACGTTAACACAACGTAATAACGTTGTTTCGACGTTTCGGCTGCGTTGTTTGGATTAACGTAGAAGACAGCGTTAATGGAACGTACGTCATATCGGGCCTCAACGTCCAAACGTAATGCTGATTCGACGTTGAACCAATAGTGAGGATTTGACGTAGGAAAAAAAACGTTGACGTAACTGGGAGGATGCTATCAACGCGGATATCGAAGACGTTTAGTAATTCACAACGTTGTAGAAACGTCGTAGAAACGTTGTAGAAATATCGTAGAAACGTTGTAGAAACGTTGTAGAAACGTTGTACAAACGTTGTACAAACGTTTTTACGTTGTTATGTTTGTTTATAAAACGCTATTTACGTTTTAACGTTCGTGGTGCAGCATCATGCCCACACTACGTTGGACTATTTAGTCGTGGTAAAAAAAAAATCTATATTTTAATTACCCAGTGAAATAATAATGATTAGAAGCATACAATGAGATCAGGAACTGAAGCCCATCAGAGATAAATGAAATTGTGTAATATTGGAGAGTTCGTTACACACAACAGTGCATATGTTGATATATCATTATTCACAACAATATAACGAATAATAAAAAGACATGTTATCATTTAGGGAAGCCTCGATTTAACTCACAATTACTTTATACAAATAACATGTCAGAGAATTTTATATACATTATACATTATATATGTATATATATAAATATAGAGTTATGCTATCTATTATACACAGGGATGCTATCTATTATAGGATTCAGTTCAGATAATTACATGCATTCATCTCTTTGTAATTAACATAATAAAAGATGCAATTAGGCAAACGTTGTTCTAAATATTTATTGTAATTGGTAAAATGTAATGATTGGGGACAACCAAAATTATATTTACCCAAAAAGTAATTTTTTTTTTCGTGCTAAACATCTATTTTGCAAATTGCAATTACTGTGTTGGTGGTTATTTAATATAAACCACACACAGGTATTATGCAACACTATTTAAAACACATGAAAAACATATGATTAAAATGAAAAACATATGATTAAAATAAAAAAAAACATATGATTAAAAGATGTTGTGCACGAATTATTTGTCAGGGTTCGGTAGCTTTTATCTATATCCACCTAAGCTCATTCATATGTGTCTATCCTACGCTGGAAACAATACATTGATCACATTGCTATTAAGTTACTGGTAAACTTTGATTCTAAATCAATATTCCTATTTCCATAGAGGCTTTTATATTCAAGATCCTTTGATAATATTTAGATATATTTTATATATTTATATATAATGATAATTGAAGGGTACGAGAATGCCAGAAATAAATTATTAATTGACCAATAAGGCTGTCCAAATTTTACCATATGTAAACATTTAAGATAATATTAAAATTATCCAATTAACATATGATTAAAGGCATCAAAATATTAACTTTTATTAGGTGATTTTCATTCAGAAAGGCGGGGAATAAGAGCTAAAGCTCGATCTTACAAGACAAAATTGGCAAAAACAAATAGTGAGTACATTCAAACACCCAAACACACACACACAGACACACACACACACACACACACACACACACACACACACACACACACACACACACACACACACACACACACACACACACACACACACACACACACACACACACACACACACACACACACACACACACACACACACACAGACACACACACACACACACACACACACACACACACACACACACACACACACACACACATACACACACACACACACACACACACACACACACACACACACACACACACACACACACACACACACACACACACACACACACACACACACACACACACACACACACACACACACACACACACACACACACACACACACACACACACACACACACACACACACACACACACACACACTTAGCTGTGTGTGGCCTCACAGCTGAGTGAACAGAGCTATACGGTCGAAGTCCTAAGAGAACCGGGTTCGACCCCCCAGTAAATACAGAAACCAAATGAGCGCAGAGTTTCTTTCACCCTGGTTCTCCTATTCACCAAACAGTAAATAGGCACCAGGGAGTTAGACAGCTGCTACATCCTGCTTCCTGGGGACATATGTGTGTGTGTCAAAGATAAACATAAGTAGCACAAATACCAGATGGAAAAATAAATTAGAAAGGCGGGGTCCAAGAGCTCGATCCTGCAAACACAAATAGTAAATACACCCCTCACTCACCCTGCTTTTCCTTTTTTGCTTCAAGATCGAGAGATAATTCATCTGAGAGTCCCTGAAGGCATTAGGAATATTTTGTGGTAAGAAACATATGACCCAAGACACTTTAAAAGACCTGGGTATTATGTAGCGATAAATGATTGGGTGTTTAGTGCGATTCCCGAGAGCTCCCGATAGGTGTATGCAGTCATATATATATGCTACAAGAGGTCTATTTATCCTAGATAGATGAAAGACCTGGGTAAATATTGGTTCGGTAACAGGGCTGTTGATTTGTGGAACCAATTACCGCGTAACGTGGTGGAGGTGGGGCCCCTTGATTGTTTCAAGCGTGGGTTGGGCATGTATATGAGTGGGATTGGGTGGTTATAATTAGGAGCTGCCTCTTATGGACCAATAGGCCTTCTGCAGTTACCTTTGTTCTTATGTGGATTTTGGTCTATCCACTCCCAACTTTGCAAAAGGGATTGATGAATGTTTGGATACATGGATGAATACATAGAAAGATGGATAGACTAGCAGACAGAAAGATAAATAGAGAAGTGGATAGATATATGGATAGATAAGATGAATGTATATGTCAGATAGACCAGACCCGGACACAGCCGGATATCCATTTAATATATCTATACACGACTGAATATCTGGTTATCTGTGGGTTTGACTCATTGTCTAAAGTCATTGACCAGATGTATATGGCTAGTCTCACCAAACTTTTCAAGAAAATTAATGGGGTTAATAGGGAAAGAATGGGGATTAATGGGGGATTAATGAGGGGAAAGAATAACGAAGGGACAAAGGGAGTTTAAAGGGAAAATTAGGGTAGGCCCCAATGTGTGAGGGACCAAGGGACCCCTCACACAGCAACAGGAAGCAAGGGGCCCTCACACAGCAACAGGAAGCAAGGGGCCCTCACACAGCAACAGGAAGCAAGGGGCCCTCACACAGCAACAGGAAGCAAGGGGCCTTCGCACAGCAACAGGAAGCAAGGGGGCCCTCACACAGCAACAGGAAGCAAGGGGGCCCTCACACAGCAACAGGAAGCAAGGGGCCCTCACACAGCAACAGGAAGCAAGGGACCCCCTCACACAGCAACAGGGACCAACGGGACCCCTCACACAGCAACAGGAAGCAAGGGGACCCTTCACACAGCAACAGGAACCAAGGGGGCCCCTCACACAGCAACAGGGACCAACGGGACCCCTCACACAGCAACAGGAAGCAAGGGGCCTTCACACAGCAACAGGAAGCAAGGGGCCTTCACACAGCAACAGGAAGCAAGGGCCCTTCACACAGCAACAGGAAGCAAGGGACCCCCTCACACAGCAACAGGAACCAACGGGACCCCTCACACAGCAACAGGAACCAACGGGACCCCTCACACAGCAACAGGAACCAACGGGACCCCTCACACAGCAACAGGAACCAAGGGGACCCCTCACACAGCAACAGGAACCAAGAGACCCCCTCACACAGCAACAGGAACCAAGGGGACCCCTCACACAGCAACAGGAACCAAGGGGGCCCCTCACACAGCAACAGGAACCAACGGGACCCCTCACACAGCAACAGGAACCAAGGGGACCCCTCACACAGCTAGACACACAACCGGGCCAGATCATCCCTTGTCTTATCTTCATTCTGACAAACCGCTCCACTGCCCACTGATGACTAGCCGGAGGGAAAGGGACCAAGGAAGGGGAGTAGAGGGGAGAGAAGGGTGGTAAAACTAGCGAGAAAGAGAGAAGGGTAATATGATATAAATGAGAAGAGGAGAATGAGAAGCCGTTAGGGAAGGAAGAGGAGCATTCTGTGAAAGGAATTCTACTCCAGAAGAACTGGGAACACGGAGACGATTTTGCTGAGGTAAATAATGTTGTCAGTGTCTGACCTCTCAAGATAGAATGTGATGAGAGAGAGAGAGAGAGAGAGAGAGAGAGAGAGAGAGAGAGAGAGAGAGAGAGAGAGAGAGAGAGAGAGAGAGAGAGAGAGAGAGAGAGAGAAAGAGAGGTAAACAGAGAGAATTTACCACCTTCCCTACCCTTCACCACCTTCCCTACCCTGCACCACATTCCGGTTCCCAGAAAATACAATATTTCGTACAAATAACTGCGTGAGGTTATACCTATGCTCCATAATGCTAACAGGGAGCATTCACGAGTAAAGAATTATTTAATGCAAAAATAAATTGTAAACCGAGACGCGACATTGGATTGACTTATATCTCAAACACAACATTTCAAAAACTTTTTTATTTCCGTTTTCAAAACGTTTTTTGTTTACGTTTTCAAAACGTTTTTTGTTTCCATTTTCAAAACGTTTTAATAACGTTATAACGTTGAACCTATATTGGTTGACGTCGATCCTGATGACGTTGAACATACGTCAAATTAACGTAAATTGAGGTTGTTACCGTGGAAAAGAAAGTTTACGTGGAGGAAGCGGGTGCTCTGATTGGCTGCTCGTGTAACAGTTTATAGGCCTTAACAAGGAAGACAGCGCTTGGAACGATGCTTCTGAGATGAAGATGAGGTGAGACATGGAGATGAGGTGAGAGATGAGGGAATGAAGGTGAGGACAATGAGATGAACCGTCTATCACCACGGTACGTGAAAAATATTTGATAAATTCACTTCACATTTCCAGTGATCATTTGTCAACATGAATAGTACTCAAGTGGCAAATATTTTATGTCCATAAAAGAATATGTTTCTAAAGTGGAAATATTTGCTCATGAAAGAATATGTTTCTAAACTGGAAACATTTGTCTATGTAAGAATATGTTTCTAAACTGAAATATTTATTAATACACGTTTTTGAAATTTTTGTTTTTCTTTTATGATTAGTTACGAGTCTAAAAATATATATATATATATATATATATATATATATATATATATATATATATATATATATATATATATATATATATATATATATATATATATATATATATATATATTTATATATTAAATGTTACTACAGGTCTCAGTGTTGATGCAAATGACCCCATTCCACGACCCCCAACCATTGACCACAGTCAACGAGTCCTCTCATTGGCTGGCCATCGGAGTCTTCAACCACTAAACGATCGATTAGGTCAGTACGTTCGTCGGTCGTAACGAGCAAAATAATGATTTCGCTCTCGCAAATACGGACACCTCGCCAAGAAATTAACTACTCGTATTTAGCATTAACGAAGTTTGTTGCATTATTGAATGCGACGACACTAAAAATACAATCAATTTCAATTTTGGATTGTTTACGTAGCTATAAATAGAAGGTCCACAAGTTAATTACAATCATGTGATATATGAGAAAATCTTTTGAGTAAGATGGGTATCGAACCAACGTTCAATGAACCTAAATACGCCCCATAACTCATGTTAAAGGTTATATAACAAGGGATCCGCCTGTATCCACTAGGACTCTAAAGGGCCCTGACGGTTGGATTGTTTCAAGCGTAGGTTAAACATATATGAATGAGTTTGAGTGGGTATAAACAGGAGCTCCTTGACATGAGGAGGCATTTGATGTCATGATGATTGATGATTGAGTTTCAATACTTACGGGCATTGTTAAGAAGATTGACAAGCTGTTAGGTACATCAAATGACATCATTGGTAGTTAGGAGGAAGTATGTTTCACATTGATGTCACCCACTCACAGGTAGGAAGTATTTCCATGTCACTGACGTCATTTTGACGTTTATCAAGACACACTTGACGCTGGAGACCAGACAGGAAGTGTTTCTGGCTTCACTATCCGGCTGTCAACGCTACATCACTGATATCCGGCTGTCAACACCACATCACTGATATCCGGCCATCAACGCCACATCACTGATATCCGGCTGTCAACGCCACATCACTGATATCCGGCTGTCAACACCACATCACTGATATCCGGCTGTCAACGCCACATCACTGATATCCGGCTGTCAACACCACATCACTGATATCCGGCTGTCAACGCCACATCACTGATATCCGGCCGTCAACGCCACATCACTGATATCCGGCTGTCAACGCCACATCACTGATATCCGGCTGTCAAGGCCACACTACCAACACACACATCATTAGCCACAGCTTCTCAAATACCTTAACAATCATTTGAATTTTCAGAACGAGCTGAACCATCTTGATGAACTAGCTGACGCGTCTCATTTCCGACGACATCAACCAATCCGTAAAAAATACGATGTATTAGTCAAAATAACAACACGACAATACGTTTTCTATACTTCGGCCTAGAGAGGTGGGTTGGCTGTGTTCGTTCGTCTCAAATTAGGCAATAAAAACAGTTGCATTTCACAGAGTGAAGCACTGATCGAGACAAGTTCAAACGTAATCACTCGTGAGTTAATTTTGGAGTCGCGTTAACGACCAATTGGTTATGATGAGGAGTTAAGCCACTCACAGGGATATACACACACAACTTGAATTGGCTGTAGTGACTATTCACAGGACAATAGACCTTAAACCCCAACACCAACAAGGTACTCGAACTGATCGATACAGAGTTCGGACCCCCACTTCCTGTCACTCTCCGTACGAGGCTGTATCATTGTTAGAAGATGTATACACTGTGAGCATGTATACACTGTGAGCATGTATTCACTGTGAGAATGTATATATCTGCTCGAGAAATGTTTGAATGCCATCAGTTGTAAGTTGTGAAGCTTGTCCTCATAGACAAAGATCCAAAGTTCATTCCATCCACCCGCCAAACCTTCTGCTTATGACTGAAAAAACGGTTTACACACGACTCACAACTGATGACGTTTGAACACTTCCGGAACAAGTGCTTCGCTAACGACTTTTGTTCGAACCACAACGCTGTAAATGCTTCACCCACGTACTACAAATACAAATAATCGTCAACAGAACCTAACCAATGCCTAAATATGTATAACATGCTAATATATAACAATATTAATTTATATTTGAGAACCTTACTATTTTGAAGGAACAGCATATTAAAATTGATGAATGCGTCTTGGGGGTCGACCGCTGGATGGAATGGACTTTATATTAGGACGGGTTTCAGTATGCGCAGCAAACCATCAGGTTTAAATACATCTGCATCGTCAGTACTAAATGCTATTAGTTCCTTTTACAGTGACCAATAGCCACAAGGAGAAACCCGACTCTCCAACACCCGCTAGCCAATCAGGTGTCACCCAACTCATCAGTGGCCAACGGCAACGAAGAGAAATACGAGCCACTAACACCCAAGAGCCAATCAGGTGTCAAATTTCTCAACAGTGACCAATAGTAATAAAGAGTAACACGGTCTCGGAATTCCCTGGACGCTTTCCAGACACACTCAAGTGCTTCCAGGTCCTGATGTATGATGATACGAGCCCTGAGAGAGAGAGAGAGAGAGAGAGAGAGAGAGAGAGAGAGAGAGAGAGAGAGAGAGAGAGAGAGAGAGAGAGAGAGAGAGAGAGAGAGAGAGAGAGGAAGGGAGAAAGCGCGCGTGAACGCACCGGTCCGAGTATAACCAAACGCCGAGTATAACTCCAACAAGTATAACCAATTCGAGCACTTAATTGTCCCATGTGTCACCAGCTCCAATTCGCACTATGGATTGCCCCTTCTGTCACATATTATGAACATTCTATATATTACGGCCTTTTTTCCCGTTTTTTAAGAACGTTATAAAAACGTTTCGTAACGTGAAAAAAACCCGGATTGTGGGTTGTAGGAGTTCCGCTTCCCATAGGCAGGCCTAAGGTCAGGCTCGTCTTGTAATTACTTGATCTAGCAGTTTGTTGCTTGAAGAGACCTGCATGCCGATAGTATTTTGAGAAAACTATAAAATTTTTATTATTCGTAATATTAACTGGTGGAATTTACATATAAATAGATTTATGAAATAACTTTTTTTATTTATATTTTAATTCTGCTAATGTTTATGAGACTGACGGTGTGTATATAAATGTTGTCACTTGGGTTTGAAGTTGTAATGAATGGAGTTGCACCTCTGGCTTGTCGTTCTCAAGGGTAATGGCTGTTGTGCCTTTGTCCAAGCTGCTAGTGTGATCATTCAATGTCCAGGCGGGCCGCGTGTTGGTGGTGGTAGTGGTGGTTGTGGTGGTGGTGGTGGTAGTGGTAGTGGTAGTGGTGGTGGTGGTGGTGGTGGTGGTAGTGGTGGTGGTAGTGGTGGTGGTGGTAGTGATGGTAGTGGTAATGGTGGTTGTGGTAGTGGTGGTGGTGGTGGTAGTGGTGGTGGTAGTGGTGGTGGTGGTGGTAGTGGTGGTGGTAGTGGTGGTGGTGGTGGTAGTGGTGGTGGTAGTGGTGGTGGTAGTGGTGGTGGTGGTGGTAGTGGTGGTTGTGGTGGTGGTGGTGGTAGTGGTAGTGGTAGTGGTGGTGGTGGTGGTGGTGGTGGTAGTGGTGGTGGTAGTGGTGGTGGTAATGGTGGTGGTAGTGGTGGTGGTTGTGGTGGTGGTGGTGGTGGTGGTGGTGGTGGTGGTGGTGGTGGTGGTGGTGGTGGTGGTGGTGGTGGTGGTAGTGGTAGTGATGGTAGTGGTAATGGTGGTTGTGGTAGTGGTGGTGGTGATGGTGGTGGTGGTGGTGGTGGTGGTGGTGGTGGTGGTGGTGGTGGTGGTGGTGGTGGTAGTGGTGGTGGTGGTGGTAGTGGTGGTGGTAGTGGTAGTGATG